TGAACAAAGATCAATACTTGTCAAATGACTATTAGATAAAGAACTTAACTGGAACATAAATGAAGATCTTAGCTCAAATGAAGCCTGTGTAATGCTTCTGTGTGTATGTTTCAACAAATTCCACTTTTGGTTTATTAGATTTGTGAAAATTTTTGAGATAAGTGCGTCTAGAAACTGATAACAGTCAGAAAGTCATTGAAATTGAAGAACGCATTTGAATAAACACTTGAAATTTACACCATTACACTTTCAAATGATTGGAGGCAATCGGCAGGAATCCTTAGGCCAAGATTTCGTGCTTCTTATCACTTGTCACTTGAAGAAATGTTTTTTGTCCATTCTCAGATTCGAACCGAAATTGGTGATGAATCTAAGTATGCATTACACTCCTACAAGAGGTCAGTTGTGAGCTTCTGAATAGCTCAGTGGTAACGTTTCTGACTGCAGTACTAGGTGATGGGGGTTATAATCTCAAGGGAGATGTGAGTTCCTCTAAGACTACAGATATGCCTTGCAGACAAGTGCCAGCAGCAAGTATGAAACATAGGTCGAAGGCTTTCTTCCGACTGTCTTCAACTATCTAAGATTAATTCACAGTACACCGTGATGTCCAGCCGTCTAGCATGCTGAACACATTGCAAACTAGACTGAGGCAGCTCAGTCTGCATCAAATGAAGGCCTAGAAGCATGACACTAGTTGCCGCCTAGTGATCAATCAAAGTGTATGTTTTTACAATCCATTAGTGCAAAATTATCACTTGCTGCTAGTTTTTGAGGGTGAGTACTCCACAAAGATACACAATAATAATAAATAAAAAGAAAGGAGAACTAAAGGATATTTGCGAAACTTCTAAAACTACACTTGGGTTAAAGAAGTACTCTGAAATGATGAAACAAAACAAAAAATAGTTATTCCATGCAGATCATCTAAATCAGATAATCATAACAGAGTACTCAATACATACAATACTACAGCATCGTTTAAAGCATCAATTACACACATACAAACCATGTGGTATTCGTTTTCTAACTGTATTCACACAACATTAAAATCCTCAGAGTGATATAAAATACCACAGGGAAACGTCCCCAGAATTTGAGGGTATGACAAACTGATATTGTAAAGCGTTCGTTTGACACATATAAGCAATTCAGTAGATTTTTTTTTCAAAGGTCTTCTAACAAAGTTTTACACATTATTATTATTATTATCAATTCACGCAATTGACTTTGATAATGGATATCCACGGAATTTCATCAAGAGACATATACCCTCAAGCCAACATATCAAATTAAAGGCCCCCAACAAAGCACAAGGAAAATCGCTCTACCATATATAAAGGACATCACAGAAATCACTACAAGACTCTTCAAACATCTAGGAATTGACGTCGGACACAACCCAACAAAGTCACTTCACTCAGTTCATTTTCAACCAAAAGACTCCTCAACAAAGAAAGAAGATAAAAGCAACATCATCTACACAATAAATTGTAACAACTGTGAAAAACACTACATTGGCCAAAGTGGACGTCCCCTTCGTCTTCGTATCCACGAACACAACCTAGCCGTCAAAAGACATGAAATCCACTCCCTCATATCACTACATACAGATAACCATGGAAATCAATTTGACTGCGACAACCAACAATCCAATATCAGACAGAGGAAACAACAGGAATGTTGAAGAATTTTTAGAAGCTTGGCATTCCAGTGAATCATCAATCAATAGACACATCGAGATAGACAAAATTTATCAACCGATAAGAAAGAAACCTCACACACACAAAGGGTCAGAGTTCAAGTCAAAGAAACAATGAATTCCAGTAGAAGTAACCTAGAAGGTGTGAAAACACACAAAAACAACCAATCACGTCCAAGGTCACCAGAAGAGATGATGAATCTAAAAGCTCACTTCATCAAAATGAAGTACGCGCTGAAGATGTTCCCTAGTGGGGCAATGAAAGCTTCGCAAATTAACTATCCAGCTCAGAGACGAAAACCACAACAAAATGTTGTTAACTGTTTAGAAGATGTAAAGAATACCTCTTCAGAAATACGATTCATACAAAATGGAATTCAAACAAGAAAAAAAGAAATAAAAGGAGTGGGGAAAATTTTATAATAAAGTTCTCCAATCTGCTCCCGCCTTTTTTTGAAAATCCTTTTTACACCAATGCATTTCAGGTGGAATGAAGAACTTCAAGTTTGTGCTTTGAAGTTTTGCTGGTGGTAGTGTTGTTATTCTACGGAATAGGGTTAATAGCCTCACGTTGAATATGTGCTCTTTACCAGGATTACTGCTTACTGGTTATAAGAGGTTCAAAACTATCTATTACTGATTGGTTGAGATAAGTGCTTCCTGGCCAGATCTGGGTGATCTAAACTGCAATCGATTGTTTCTTTTGTTTAGGGTTCAGTGTATCAATGAGGTATCCGGTTTAATCCAGCTCAGACAGTTGTGTCAGTACAAACCACCCGATTTCTGGCTAGTTACCTAACTGAACTTCTGACGACATAAATAAAATTCGCAATTTTACTTACAATCTTCATAATTACATTTACTTCCAACCATACTTCAATAAATCATTTCATGTGTTTCAATAATGATATTATAGGCGAAATTCATTGCACGTCGTCGTCACGACAAGACGCTGATATAACTTTCAAAGTTTTGTTTATATATTATTTTATTATTTTTTCCGGTATCATGTCATTTCTACTATTGATGTTTGGCATAGTGACTAACGTCTTCCTCTATTTAATTACATTATTTTGAGAATAAGTGTCGGTGCCGCAGCGGTAGAATGCTCGCCGACCACGTGTGGGGTTCGGAGTTCGATCCTCGGTCAAAAACGCACTCCTTTACCCCAATAAGCGAGTAATAAGACTGGTAAAGAGGGAAGGTTGGGCATGAGGCTAGAAGCCTCATCTCTTAGAGAAACTTCACTGACACCAAAACTTCAAGCCTCTATCTTGAAGCCTTATGTTCCACTAGGAACATAAAGAAATAAAACCAACCAGTTTTTTGAAACTGTAGCTATGTTGTAACATATTGCGTGAGTGAGTGTTTTGATGAGTACTGAATTACTGGCGAGCATTTCTTTGTAAGCTGATCTTTTAGCCATTTCAAAAGTATTTTGCAGATTAAGTTATTTCATTTGATTAAGTCAATAGGGTCCTTCAACTTGTAGAATTTGTCCACGAGTGTGTTTGGAAATTCCTGCTTTATTCACAATTCCACTTAAAAGATTTAAAATGTTCCTTTTCCATACAACAATACTGTAAGATGCGTTATATTTCGTCTTATTAATGTTGTGAACAATAGCTACACTGCTGTGTATTTATTCTTTTACTGTGTATTAAGTAAAATGATATAGTCATATAAAAGATGATTCATTCAGCAGAGAATCGATACCAATCTCATGATGTACAATCACGTATATAATCTGTCATATTCGTTGTGTTACTTCTCTACTGAATCCGAGAAAAGGTGATCAGGTGCAGTATTAACGAATAAATATGGATTATTTATGAGAGTTTTGATGTTTTGTTGATAAGAGATGGGGAAATAGTTTCACCTACATTGATAACTGGTAATTAGAGGCAGCGTGATTGACGGTAGATTGACAACTGGTACTAGCGTTGAAGACTAATTTTGTTTTTAAAACTTTGATTTAACAGTGGGTAAGTGAAGCGGGTTACTTCATTCACTCACTTATCTAGGGAGGAAGCATTGTCTCAACTACAGGTAGTCGGAACGGACGGGGATGTCAAATCGAACGAGAATCGGGAAGACGAGAAACACATTCCCTCATCAACCTGAAATCAATCTAATCTGGAAATCTTCGTCACTCAGCCACCATCAACAACAGAATCCGGTAGGATTTTCAATACAAACAACGTCAAGTCAGTCAGTTCTTCTATACGGATCAGAAACTTGGCGGGCGGGTCACAAAGAATATTTCCAACAGCCTGTTGTAGACCTTTATCAACAAATGTCTCCACCCTATAATGAAGATAAGATGACCGGAAATAATCACCAACAGGAAACTATGGCTGGGAACAAACAAAACAAGAACCGATCGCCAACGAACAAATATGCAGGAGAAAGTGGAGGTGTATTGAACACTCGCTGAGGAGACCGCCGCTAGGTGACTTCGCGCGCGCGTCAGGCCATCGCTCGAGTGGAACCAGGCCGAAAGGGAAGCGGCGAGTAAGATGTCAGTGGAAGGGTGACATGGAGGAGATCGTGTGAAGAGGAGTTGAAACAGTATGGACTGACATGGGTGCAGGTGAAAAAGTACAGCAGAAGTTAGAAGCAACTGGAGAGGTGCAGTTGAAGCCCTATGTTCCACTAGGAACCCAAGGGAGCAATAATAATATAATAATAATAAGTGAAGCGGGAAACCGTGTCGTACACACACGGAAAGAGATTCATCGTTCAATAGATAAAGAAAGCTTTACAAAACATCCGGAAAATATGGTTACTACTTAGTCAGTAGTCCCCCACTACCCTCTTCTGAATTACTTGATAGCTTGTTATATCTGACTAGCCATAGCATGATGCAGTTTAGATAACCTTGCCCACTACATTCACCTGTTCTTCCAAAGCCATCAACTTTTCTACCTATCAACATTACTGAATTTTTATGTCATATAGCCAGAATTTTCTTGCCTCTGTCTATATTTGAATGTTTGTGTCTTTTTATGCCCGTGTCTTTCAGAAAAAACCCATTTTCAGATTTTTGTTTTACGGTCAATGGAATAATTAACCCTTCATCTGTTTGAGTTATGCAACTGAATATCAAAGTCAAACTTGTGAATAAACACAGCAGAGTACGAAACATGAATGCCTCAAAAAGAACTTTCATTTCTGAATTAAACTGTAAAAATAGGAAAATAAGACTTATATTTTAGTTTTTTTAAGATACAACAGAGAGATGGATGACAATTATTGTGTAATATAAAAGATCCTAACTTGGAAATTAAATACTTACCTCTTGTTTGACAGGTACACCAATTTCACCAAGTATACGTGTACGTATTAATCGACGTCTACGGAACATATGATATAGCTTTTCAGAGGCTACATAACCCCCAGTAGTTGCTTCAATTGTATACTCAAAACCATCTTCATCACATGGACGATTAAAATCAATTTTCCATTCATCACCCCATGTCCAACCAGCTGGTAATTCAACATAATTTGGTTCACATTTTGGTTCACCTTGTGCATCTGTATATGGTGGTTCAGATGCTTTCCATGGACTTGTTGGAGTACGAGATTCATTGTAAAATAATTCTTCAACAAAACTTGTTTTACCTGCATCCTAAATTTAGAGGAAAATATAGATATCATTTTAATACACTATTCATGTATTTGGTGAGAATATTGATTGCCTTGAAAGTCTACCAATCAGAATTCGAATTGTATAAATTATGTGACCGTTAGTTATCCAATCAGCTTTCAGCATATTTGAAAACTATTATGGCTCAGGGCAGATTGTATTTTTTTTATTTTTTATTTACAGCTTGATTCCACACTGTATTTTCGGTACAAGCATGGAATTTTCAGCATGGATATCGGTAGCCCAAATTTTGCAGGCCGACCATAGATATCAGATGTGCGTCGGTGCGGGCTCGAATCCCGGACCATGTGCATGGTCGGCGAGAGTCCTAACCACTGTGCCACCGACGTACAGAATGATCAGAAACCATGTTTTATTTTGAGTACCTTCTTTTTATTCATGATTGTTATATTATTGGAACACACTTTCTCATATAATTGTGTATGTCTTTTCTTAAATTTCCATGAAAAACCATGCACCGTATTTTCCCTAGTTCTTATCGTCTTAGCATTTCACCTATGTCTTTCAGTCTCAAAATGTACTCTCATATATTATTTTTAATTGACTTTCAAAACACTAGTGGACACTTCTCACAGACAATAGAAAAAACATCATAATGGATCAGTCTATGCTTCAGATCTAACAGCACTGCATCACATGATACATCATAAAATGTTATTTTATTTGAAACTTGTGAATGAGGACCATATATTCTTCTTCTTTCTTTCTTTATTCCTATACGTTCTGAGTGGAACAAAGGGCTTCAAGTTAGAGACTTGAAGTTTCTGTAGCAGTGGTGATCACTTTTACAGGATGAGGTTGCTAGACTCATGTCCAATCTTCCCTCTTTATCAGTCTTATTACTGGCTTATCGAGGTGAAGGAGCGCGTTGTTGACCAGGGATCGAACCGCGGACCACATGCGTGGTAGGCGAGCACTCTACGCTATGCCACTGACGTAAACCATTTATTATGGAATAAATTATTCTGAGAATTCAGTATAGTGTGTAAATATTTTCTATCCAGAATAAAATAGTTCTTCTCCTTATTATTATTATTATTATTAATTGGGAAAAAGAGATCCTGTTAACTTCAGTAATAATTCACCTATTGTTTATCAGTAAAGTGGATCAATGTATAATTTAACAAATTTACAGAAACTAGAAGTAATTTAAAGGATGGTTACTGGCAGTGGAATTCAGGATGCACATTTCGTTCTATTCGGGACGCGTCACTGAATGTACCTGCATTTCCCAGTTATTTAGTGAGTGAGTGATGATTTTCCCATTGAGAGTAGTACCCGGTACCGATTGTTTCATACGCCAAAGCGTGGGTCACGAGAGCCATCTCTTCTGCAGTAATTGTCAGTTTTAATTCAGTTTAGATTTTCCGGTTGATTATGTTCCATCTTTGTTGACATGGTGGCTCTTAGTGCGGATGTTTCAGTAATGTCTGAGGATTTCACAGAAACACAAGTACTGTTGCACGGCTATAAGTTTTTAGCCTGCCAGACAGTTCGAATTTGTTTTTTTTCATAAATCTTGTTTTTATTGAACACTGTTATTGAATTTGAAAACAACCTCTCAAGACTTTAGAAGGGATATTTATTTCTTCCCTAATTAATAACACTAGAGATTTGGTTCAATGAAGTAACGGAGATTCATGATTTCTACTAACAGAACTGAATTTAACTAGTCACATCTAGATCCATGAGAATTCTTTCCATGGTTCAACATTATTGTATGACTTTTAAGTGTCTTTTTACACAACACATTAGTAATTATATGCAACCTTTCGAATTGATGTTAAATGACAGAAGGGCACTCTCCACCCATGGTTTCGTGCTTGTTACTACTCATCAGCAAAATGTATCTGCAACTTCAAAGAAAGTGATAATCTATGTGAAACTCCAGAGAATTTCCAACATCTGTGTGATATTTTAATGATAGAAGACAAGTGCCGTGCAACAGATTGTTTATTGAGAAAGTCAACAGATATTTATAGATTTTATGTACATTATTTTCAGCGGAGAAGCAATGCCTTCTGATTAGTTTTTTCCTCTTTGAAGGTTTTTCTGTACTACTTGTGACCGTCTCTCAGAAAGTTAAGCCATATATCTGCGAATCATTTTGCACACGGTAAGTCTGCTATGATTGGTTAATGAGTTCCTCAAGGTTAAGCCTTGTTGTTGTTCTTTTCTCATGACCCCGATTCGGGACTTGAATAAAAAGAAGTAATTTGGGAAATCAGCCCAGAGTAATATTTTTTTCTTATGGAATATCAAGTCTTTTCGAAATTCGCTCACTATAGATAAAGCACTTGTTCAGAATTTGCTAGGTTTACTTCAGCATTATTGTAAGCTTGAATGATTGTTACACTGTGAGTCTTATGCTTAAATAAAATGCGTACAAAGGAACATTTAATGACAAGTAAGGCATGTAGGAATATAATCACTCACTAAACACTTATACTCTTTTTTATTGAAAATCGACTACAACCACAGTTCAATGAATTAATTGTTTTAGTGGTCGTAGGGAAGATAGTGATAGATCTTGACTCTCAGTATAAAGTTAGCTTTGGGTCGCTTTAAAACTGAATTCTTAGGATTATAAATCTAAATGAAGTAATGCCATGTGTGTTGGCAGGGTCATCTGAGAGTGCTATGGAGGAGATCCTTCGAGGAGGAGATGAAAGATTATGAGCACTTGTCGACCCAGCTGAGGAGGACAGCAGAAAATAGAACAAAGTGGAGCTGTGTTGTTGAAGCTAGTTGTTCCAATGAGAACCCAAGGGAACAGTAATCTATAATAATAATAATAATATCTTTATTGAAAGATTAAGCGAGCCTTCGCATATTTTCAACACACCCTAAAACTGTGAAATATCACACAATCATTTCTATAGGTTTAAACAAGCTTAACTTTTAAAAATATAACAAATCAAAAACAAAAAAAAACTTACTTTTTTATATAATAATGAAACTTCTGGACTAACATACCAATCACCAATCCATTCCCAACCACTTGGTAGTTGAATCGATTCTTTAGTTAATTCAATACGACCAGTATTATCTGACCATGCTGGACGAGTTAATGGTGGTCGTTTAGTCACCCAACTGCCAACAATAGATGCTTGATTTTCATACTATATGTGTTTAATACAACAGGGTAGGCGGAAAAAGAAGAAAGAAATAATTTAGCATTTTGGTAATTTTTAAAGAATTTTTTATTCCTTCACGCTCCCAGTGGAACATAGGGCTTCAAGCTAGAGCCAGCTTGAAGTTTCTGTAGCAGTGTTTGTCTTTGCAGCTAGCCTCATGCAGCTAGCCTCTCGGTGGCCGGGGATCGAACCCCGGACCATATGCATGGTCGGCGAGTGACCTAACCGCTATGCCACCGACGTACACTTTGGTAAATTACTTTTTATTTTATGAACACCACTAGTTTGCGAGATTATGGTTTTGCTGGAGAATCACTATTTATTCAGTTTGATCCAAGAAAAGATCCCCATTTATCAGCTCAAAAATTCAGAAGGAAATAGAGGTGGAGAAGACCGCTGATTGATATAAATACGTCAGGTCATCGCTCAATTGGAACCTGAATAGAAAGTGAGTGACTATCTGGGAAGGTATTCGAAGATGACATAAAAGGAATAGTGTGAGGAGGTGATTAAATTTTGTAGGTAATCGTTAGGCCAGCTGAAAAGAACTGAAGAGAACAAGGTGGAGACATTACTACCGAGGACCTATAATCCCATCGGAATCCAAGGGAATAATAATAAAAATAAGTTCAGTTATTTCTGTAGAGAAATAAAGTTACACGGATCTACTTTTGACTTCTGATGCATCACCTATAATGGTCAACTATACTGTAAGCTTGAGTTTTACGCTTGTGCATTGAGCTGACAGTGAAACAAAAGTGGACATTATTGGCAGGATTTAAAAATATTTACACCATACTAATCAGTTTACTATTCGGGTTATTGTATTCACCAATTTTGCATAGTACAAAAGTGTTTGACAGTTGTTCTTGAACTCATTTATTATGGCTGTTCATAATAGCGTGTTTGTATGTGTAATGTTGCTCATGATTTTTCTTATCAGATTGATATGTTCACAACTTACACAGATGTTATTCAGCTGAAGTTCTAATTATTCTAATCAGACTAATTACATACAATTGTTGGATGGTGGCTAGCAGTGGAATCCCGTCGACGGGAAAATCAAAAATTCAATTCAATAATTAATATGACCCGTCGCACAAGAGGTGGCTCTCGTGGCCCAAGTGGTCTAGTGGATAACGCTTTGGCGTTTGAAACTATGGGTACTGGGTTCGAGCCTCGATGGGAACATCATCACTCACTGAGAAATGCAGGCACATCCAGCTGACGAGTCCCAAATAGGACGAAATGCGCATCCTGGATTCCACTGCTAGCCACCATCCAACAATTGTATACTAACTAAATACCCAGACATCGTCGAAGCATCTGCACAAGAAGCCGACATGTCAACCTGAGACCGAGCACTTCGGTCCAATCAATCGACGGGAAAATCAAAAATTCAATTCAAGACTAATTACAGTTCATAGTTTGATTGAACAGTAGTAAATAGTGTTATACGTCTAGTCCTTTCTTTGATGCAGACTGAATTCTATCAGTCAGGTTTGCAGTGTGGTTAACATTCTAGGTAGCTCGCCATCACAGTGCACATTGATTTGATGATTTTAGATGGTTCCAGGATATCAGTAGGAAACCTTGCTTAAGCTAGGTTTCGTGCTAGTTGGTACTCATTAGTCAGCAAGGCGTATCTGTCGATTGCCTCCAACTATCTAATACCATCAAGCTACCTAGAATGTTGGCCACATTGCAAACCTGACTGATAGAATTCAGTCTGCACCAAAAAAAACTAGACAACTCACACTGTTTACTAGTGTCCAATCAAAGTATCCACTACAACCCTACAGGAGGCCAACCGTTAGCCAGAATAGCTCAGTTGTAACGTCTCTGAGTGCAGGCGGCACTGGTTAACGCGGGTTTGAATCTCAGAAGGGATATGGGTTCCTTCAATGTTGCAGTTACGTCTTGCTGACTGGTGAATGCCAACTAGCACGAAACCTAGGTCAAGGAAGGCTTCCTGTGTCCGATCGCCTCCAACCATCTAATATTATCTAATTACAGTTCACTTAAAAAAACGACTGAAGACACAATGGTACTGGATGGGTGTTTCAGCTCCCTTTTCTGGGGAGTTTCCAGCAGTCAATGCTGAGAGTTCAACAGAAGTTTAAGTCTGAAACCTTAAAGTTACAAGGTAATCACATATCTGTTCCGGCGCTAGTTTGGAATCAGATGACCCATAGTATTTAAGTTCTAGCGTTTCATGTGATGGCAATCGTATTGATTTCATAAATAAATGATTTACTGAGCTTAACTACTGTCTGTTTACCCTCCTACCAAGTAATTTTGCAACGGCAGAAGATAAGAGAGTTGGTAACAGACTTTTTTATATTGACGGAAGAGACATACTATTTATGCCTTTTTAACCACATTAAAATTTGACTAGATTAGTGAATAATAAATTGTTTTGACAGATTAACCATTGAGATGAAAACTTTGTCTAATGAGATTTTTTCATGTCCACAACATAAACTAAATTCATATTTGAGGAATAAACACTCCTACCAATGCAGCCTATGACCGGAAATGACGACTTCAATTTTTCAAAGTAGTGGGTGGCTAGAAAATATCACTCTTAGAGTTGCTGCTGGAAAAGTCTTCTTCAGGGAACTGGAGATTCTCCCCTTGGATACTCTTGGAAGAGAATCTCCAATTCTCTGAAGGAGACTTTTCTAGCATCAACTCTAAGAGTGATATTTTCTATCCACCCCTTACTTTGGCCCAACGGGAAGGACAGACTTCTGCATATGACCACTTCAGTGTGCATATATCAGTTCACCTGCTCTTGCGGAGCTAGCTACATAGGTCGTTCTATGCGGGTCTTATCAAAACGTGTTAGAGAACATCATTCAGCATGGCTGCAAAGAGGAGGCACTGGTTTAGTCAGAAGCGCAATAACTGAACACCTCGTCAACACCTACCACAGAATCTCAACTGACTCATCATTCAGAGTCATTTACAGAGTAAACAAAAATCTACCGAACGCAGTGTGTTTCCAACTTATTTGTACTGCAGAAGCTCTCGCCATGCGCATCAAAAAGCCGGAGCTATGTGTTCAAAAGAAACTATAGTCCAGCCTCTAAAACTACCATGGATCTAGTTCAGTAGGTTCCCTTATCCTGCAGTTTTTTTTGTTTTTTTTCTCTCTCTCTCTGTGTAGTTTTCTCTCTTTGTCTGCATTCAATTCATCCCATTTCTCTCAGTTATAAAATCAGAAATTTTAAGTTTGCTTCCATGCTCCTCCTGATCACACTTGTAGTTCGTTTAGAATAACTATTTTACAGTTATATTCTCATCCCGTGTAATTTTTTGTTTCTATGCCTCTTGTAATCTATATTCACTCCTCGTGATTTACATTTCAAGTTGAAAATTTTGATTTCAATTTGTTTCCATGCTCATTTCGTTCACATCCGTAATTCGTTCTACTTCTGCGTAACTTTTGTCTCTAAGTCCCTTGTAATTCATATCAAGTTGTAAATAATTATCACCTTCTATTCACCTTTAAAATTATTTCTCCAGTTATCAAATAATAATTTTGCATACGTTGTCACTGCTTTCTAATCCTATGCAATCTTGTCTCTAAGCCCTTTGTAATCTATATTCATAACTTCAAACTTTCATATCAAGTTGAAAATTATTATCACCTTCGTTACTATGTGGAATTAAACAAATCCTAATTGTATCCGTGTAAACTGATCTATATAAATGCGACTGTACAGCTTTTGGGAATGAAATCGCCGAAAACATCGCCATCTTTGCTGAACTTCTTGTTACTTTTTCAATCTGATTTCAATTTTCTCCACTTCCTATCAATAAGCAGCTATGTGCTCATTATAAATCTTGTCCGTAGCACACACACACACACACCACAAATTAGCTTTATAAAGAGTCAGGCAAGTGATGGATTCAGGTGCATGCAACTCCCGTAAGCTTAATTCATACTACTATGTATGCATACATATATTTATATACAAGTAGTTTATTTTCTAAAGATTTGCACGTACCGTTTCTGCGACAACTTGAAGTTTTGATTCAGCATGTGATTCAGTCCAAGCAGCTCTATCCTTCTCTAATCCGAACCAGATGACAGCACGTATTTGAGCTGGAATTTTCCACTCGACTTTATTTTCATCTTTAAGTAAAACAGGTTTCTGTAATGAGAGAAAAACATTTAGGATAGACAGTTATCAGTAGAATACAAGGAACATCAGAAGTAAGCAAGTATTTTGTTGAGTTATCAAAGAAAGGAAATGTTTAGCATTCGAAATGATTTTATCTTAAAGTTGTACAATGAAATATGATTATGTTACTACAGTTGATTGCAGACTAAAACTTGAAGATTAACTTCATACTTACCAGTAATTGGGGCTACAGGATGAAATTGCTTGGAGTTCAAGTGTAAAGTCGTAACCGTTGAGGTTTACCAAGTCAGTAGTCAGGACGAATTCTTGCTGACGATACTGGCTAACGGTGAAGCTATTCATCTCAAATTGAGCAAAGTTAGAATTCATAGGCTCCTGGATTCCTTCCCAGTGATTCAGTGGCTGAAGGTCTTGCTTCATAACCTGTACGTGCTGTATTCGTTCACCAGTGGGGTGACAAATGCGTGTTACTGAAGAGTTCCGAACTAAGATGAAATAGCTGCCCTGTTAAACCTGGTTTTCACCGGTACTTTAACTGATATATAAGTTAAAACCAAATGAATCGTTCGAAACCAACACTTGAAACAGGTCGAATCCCCACAAATAAATTCTTGAAAAACAATTTCATTCTGATTAAAAACGAAGTAACCTGGAGTTCTAGTGAGAAGTTGTGACCAATGTGAGCCATCCGATAGGGAGTGAGGGGAAATACTCGCCACGGACTATATTCGCTAGTGTCAGTCACGCTAAAATCACTAATTGGTAGAAGACTGAATTTATGGGTGGTTGGGTAGGATCTCGGTGGCTGAATGGTTTACAAGTTCACCTTTTAACCTGAAGGTCCTGGGTTCTAACACCCAGTGGGTACTTACTGCCAATTATTCCCAAAGTGGGAAGAAAGAGCTAGCCATTACTCCCTAGCTTTAATGGTTCTCTAACTGATATCAATCTATTATGAAGCTCTAAACAGATCATATCCCATCAAATTAGCTTATGAAAAATTAAAAAAATGAGCAACAAACTTGTTATAAATATTAAGGGTAATATGAAGGCGAAAGTAGGTGGATGATTTAAAGGATTTATTATCAATGATAATAGTGGGGTGTATGTATTTTACCAAATGAAAACCAGTAGTATAATGGGAAGAGATAGGATCTGAGAAATGAATAGATATCTGAACATTTACAATGATATTTCATATTATGATATTCAAATGGTCAAAAATGAATACGTAACAAGGAACTTTGACAGTACAGTGAACCTTACGTATACAGAAGCAGGAAGAGATGGATTAAACATACACTAAGGAGACTACTGAGTTACATTACACGCCAGACTGGCTCTTGAATGACATCTGGATAGGGAACGATAAATAAGATATCTTCAGATGAAATGAAAAAGATCATGTGGAGGGGGAATGAAAGCATTTGAAATGTCGTGAACCCAGGTGAAGGGGATCACAGAGAATGTAGTCAAATGGATATATATTTGAAACAGTTAGTCCCTTTTATAAATTAGGATAATGTTATTTGAAGAGGGAGATTATCTGCACCCTTGACCATTTTTATAGATGACCTTAAAGGCTGAGTTAACATCAGTCTTATCTTTCATCTCGATTGGATGTTTAGCTTTACACGAATTTGGTAGTCTTACACCTGAGTCTATTGACTTTCCACAATTCATTTCTTGTTTCTAACCATTTCGGGATATGCTCTCCGACTATCACATGCAAAGCACGATTTCTCCTCCCTAGGTTCTACAGAACCTATTATGCAGCCCAGCTTGCAATTATCGGAAAAGCCAAATATATGCTCCACTGCAAACCTCAAAAGTGCACAAGTGTTTATGTCACATCCCACACCATTTACCAAGTTTAATGCGTCTGTGGTAACACATAGATATGGAGGAGTAATTGTGCTTTGCATGTGAGAGTGGGGGAGCATATCCTAAAAATTGTCCGAAAAAACAAAGGAATTGTGAAAAATCAATAGATGCAAGTGGCAGATTATCAACTTCCTGTATAGCTAAACATCTAATTGACATGAAAGATAAGACTGATGTTAACTCAGCCTTTAAGGTCATCTATAGAAATGGTCAAGGGCGCTTATTGAAATACGCTGAGGCTATAGCTATTCATAAACTTAAGCCCCCCTCTCCATTGTGTATTCAAAAACAGATTATTAGTACTGTTAACCTACTTCGGTAATCTTTATTTGATTGGATTACCAAACGTTTGTGTTAATCATTCTTAAATCCTTTTTTTGTCACTTTGTTTAATTTAATTGCCCTTAATTCTTTTTCATATATATTGACTTGACAAGTAAATGCATGAGGGATCAGATTGTTCAAAATGTATAGCGCAAATACATCACATAACTTTTCAGATAATCTCCGTCTTCTGATAAAACTATCCGCATGGATATATGCCTCTGAAGTCCTGTGTTTCACTCACTATGTAAGTAACAAATAACAATAATGGTAATAATTTAATTTAATTTTAGATTTTACCGCCGATTGATTTGACTGAAGTGCTCGGTCTCAGGTTGAAATGTCGGCTTCTTGTGCAGATACTTCGACGATGTCTGAAAAATTAAACAATTAATATGACCCATTGCATAATAGGTGGCTGTCGTGGCCCAAGTGGTCTAGTGGATGACGCTTTGGCTGGCGTTTGAAACTATGTGCACTGGGAGATCATCATCACTGACTGACTGGAGAATGCAGGTGCATCCCAATGACGAGTCCCAAATAGGACAAAATGCGCATCCTGGATTCCAATGTTTGTCACCACCCACCAATTAATGGTAATAATTATTGGTAAGAAGAAAAAGAAGAGAAAAGAAGACGGTGACTTACTTTTAAATTGATTGTTTGTGGTATACCACATTCCATGCCACGATAATCTTCATTAGTGTGATATAATACTTCATGTGCAGGTATTCTATGATAGGCAATACGTTTACCTCCGCATAACATCCATATAATTATATCTGGTATACTCATTTGAGGCTATAATATAAACAAAAAATGACGTTTGTTTAAGATAATTACTTCATTTAATGTTGGTATTCATAAGCTTTTAATTATAAAAAAGCTTTACAACAACTCTATATTTAAATTTTACTGAAATTTCGATTAACATTTCGTAGGAGCATTGTGGTGAGAGCTCTCTGCTAGCCGAAATTGATAGACAACAATTTACGTCAATGTTTACGTCCCATATCTTGGTTATGAAAAAAGAACAAGAACAAAAACTAACTCAACAACCAGTCACAACAGACTTCGCGTGGGCGGATACGACTAGCAGATATATGGTCTGGCCTTCAAAGAAATGGCCACAAAGAGATGACAGAATAACTTTCAGCGAGAAAACAATCAATCAGAAGACGTTGTTTCGCTGCTGATAATAACGAATAATAATGTAGATAAAACTATAAATATCTGTTGATTTTCCCAATAAACGATCTGTTTCCTGGCCGTTGTCTTCTGTCGTTACGGTATTACTTCCATAACGCAATGCTCAATAATGGGGTTCAACCAGGCTGTGAAACACTTAAGTATATATATATATATATGCTGCAATGAACATAAAGAACAGTATTTGAATATCCAACACTAATGTCAACCCATCGTTTATGCATGGTTCAGAGACTTGGCATGGAAACCTCTGAAGGCATTACCAACAAGTTATTAGAGAATATCATCAGCCACTATCTTTCCCCAGTACTGGAAATCAGATGGCCAGAAAGGATTAGGTACAGGAAATTCTGATACCAGACCTAATAAGAGTCTAACGTCTAACAAATATGCAGAAAGAAATGAAGACACATTAGATATATGCTGAGGAGACCGTTGAATGACATCACATTTCAGATCGTGAAACCCGCATGTTAAATGACTAATTGAGTAGCTGTTCGAGGGTAACACGGAGAAAAATGTGTGTAGGGGAAATGAAAGCCAGCTAAAACGCACTACACAGGACTGAGTTAAACTAAGATGTGCTGTTCAGTCCCTATGTTCTACTGGGAAACTAAAGGAAACTATATATATATATATCAATACACATAATATTGGCATACTTTAATTAATTAGTTAGAAGACGGAAACCATCTATATTCCATAAGGTAAGAAAGTTTTCAGCAGTCCAACCACTTGTCACCCAGTGGGTAGTGGCCAAGAAAATGATGTTTTATAATTATTTACGATGAAAAAAAGTACACGATTGTTCCAGTTCACTACGTATCACCAAAGCCATACTGACTAAAGAGTTAAGACTCAGGTTGTGCATTCAGAGAGAAATATTTATCACTCTTTTCCGACCATGGTAAAGACAGTTTTTTTTACTTCACCTAGTTTTAGCAATATCATTTTATACAATTATTCCCTTTTATAAATTTGAACAAAGAAAGAAGCAACTTTGGCGCAGAATAATCTTATTTTGTTGGTTCTCATCAGCTGCGTACAACCTGAATTTTTTAATAACAATAAAAAGTGTACAATTTTAACAAACCTTTGTCCATTAGCAAGTTTACTGTCAGAGCGTCATAGTAAAATAAGGCGTTGAGATTTACAGGGTGTCTAAAGTGTTACGGCATATATATATATATCTTGGTAGAGAGAAGTTTCTTGAAAACATTTACTAACTGTTGTGTTGTTGGGGTGGCAATAAAAGAAAATTAGCAATAGTTACGTAATATAATTTCATATTCCCTAACTTATTTTCTTCTCTTGATCCATTCTGCTGGCCTGAATATTTGACCTTAATCGTTTCGAATCATAACACTGGTCACTGGTAGTGACAAATCAAAGTGTCCATTACAGTCCTAAAGGAGGGCAGTCTTGAGCTCGAGTAGCCTAATGGTAACATCTGCTACCTCAGCGCTGGTCGTAGACCTGCTTTGAACATGACTTCCTTCAAGAGTCCAGATGCTCTTTGGTGGCTGGTGAGTGCAAACTAGCACAAAATATAGGTTCAGTGCTTCCTGTACATCGTCTTCAATCATGTGACTTCAGAACTTGTAACTGTTGTGTTATCTGTGCTAATCGATAATTTACACTCCTAATTAATGCCTAAATTTAGATCTTGACTACAGAACATTCCTGTAACTTATCTATATTTGCCAGTAAGTTTATTAACCCCTAAATTTCGTTTCTGTCAGCTCATCTCATATTTAAAGATTGCTACTTTCAAAATAATTTATTAAAGTATGAGTGTGTTTTGATATACATCCATTGAAATTATCTTGGTGGATAAGAAACAAAGAATTAAAACGATAAAATCATACTTCCATCGAACACTAGTAACTAGTGTGATGTGTCTAGTCCTCTGTTTGGTGCAGACTGAATTCTATCAATCAGGTTTGCAACGTGACCACCATTCTAGGTAGCTCGCCATCACGGTGCACATTGATTAGATGGTATTAGATGGTTGGAGGCAATCGCCAGGAAGCCTTGATTGACCTAGGTTTCGTGCTAGTTAGCACTCACTAGTCAGCAAGGTGTATCTGCCGATTGCCTCCAACTATCTAATATCATCAAGTCAACGTACACCGTGATGGTGAACTACCTAGAATGGTGGTCACATTGCAAATCTAACTGACAGAATCAAGTCGGCACCAAACAAGGGACTAGACACATCACACTAGTTACTAGTGTTCAATCAAAGTATCCACTACAGTCCTACAGGAGTCCTACAAGAGCCTGAATAGCTCAGTGGTTAAGTCTCTGACTGCAGGTGGCACTGGATGACGTGGGTTTGAATCTCAGTAGGGATGTGATTTCCTTCAAGGTTGCAGATACGCCTTGGTGACTGGTGAATGCCAACTAGCACGAAACCAAGGTCAAGAATCAAGGCTTCATGTGTCCGATTTCCTCCAACCATTTAAAGCAGGATAATATCATATTATCCTGCACAATTTGTTATTCTTATTTTAGTCAAGTCCATCAAGGGATATAATTGTATGAAATTTTGATCCTTTAATTCAACCAATACTATATTTATCTATCATAATAATATTTCTGGCATAATTTTGCTCCCACTTAATGCTTATTGTGTATTAATATTCATGAATTCACAGTTGTTTGTGCAAACAGTCTAACGAAGACGTTATTCAACAAGCTTATTCATGCTTGGCTGGCCATTGAATCTGGTCCCAATGGCTGAATGTCCTATGAGCTTGCCTTGTAACTGGAAGCTTCTGGATTCGAACCTCTGTAAGGGGTGCGCCCTGGTGATGACTCCCAAAGTAGAATGAAACATCTGTTGAGTATTCATCGGTAATTTCCAACGGTTCTCTAACCGATGTCAGCTCATGATGAAATCTTGTGAGCTATAAAATTCCTGCAAAGTAACACTTAAATTCTGAAGGAATCCATGTGTCTCCTGAAACTGAAATCCGGATCACCTGGTGCTGAAGTTTTTTTCTAATAGCTATAAATTTTCTCGATCTCATTATGTGATCAACAACATCGACTATGGTGATTAGTTGAGAAAAGACGGAATAAAACAAAAGTGAACTGTCCAAATTAAGGAATAGACATTTTGATTTGACACTAGTAACTAGTGTGATGCATCTAGTCCTCTCATTGGTGCAAAGTGAATTTTATCAGTCAGGTTTGTAATGTGACCACCATTCTAGGTAGCTCGCCATCACGGTGCACATTGATTAGATGGTATTAGATGGTTGGAGGAAATCGGCAGGAAGCCTTGGACCTAGGTTTCGTGGTAGTTGGTGCTCACCAGTCAGCAAGGCATATCTGCAACCTTGAAGGAACTCATGTCCCTTCTGACGAGTGCCAACTAGCACGAAACCTAGGTCCAAGGCTTCCTGGTGATTGCCTCCAACCATTTAATACCATCTAAGGAATAGACACTTAGAGGTACGAACATATCAATGACACTGGAGCCGTACCCTATTCCTGGGCTAACGTTAACCCTCATCTTTTCCTAACCAGTTATCTTGTTTAGTATTCTTACACTTCTTTCAGTACCTTTTTTAACTACGTAGTGTTATTTACACTGTCTTGCTCCCCCTTGCTCTGTTTGAGCATTCCAAGTTCCCTTGTGTATCCGTTTCTTTAGATGACTATTTTATAGCTTCACCACAAAAGGATAAACAGTCAAAAAAAACAAAACAATAAAAGAAATACTCACTTCAACAGCTAATTTTAGAATACTATCTCTGTATGACTTTAATTCTTTCAAAGCATCTTCAATTTCCGAAACAGTTTCACGTGTATTCAATGCTTGTTCACGTAGTGCATTCAGTTGATCTTCACGTAATTTACGCAAATGTATATCCATATCATTCTGTGGTATATTTTCTGGTTCCCATTGTGGTAGACCTCGACTGTGAAGATTAATTTGTAAAGAAAATAAGGTAAAATAAGGAAGGATAAAATTTTTTTAAGAAAATTTAACGAGTTGCAATTACTTCCTTGATGTTGTTGGCGAAATGAAATTTCTTTGCCCTACACAATTTCACCAATAATGACAGATGAAATGAGACACCAGCATGCATTAATTGACTTTGTCATATATTGAAATAGAACGTATATTGAAGGCAGAATGGTACTATGATGGATAAGGACGTGTGGAAGCAAGAATGGTTGGTCAAGTTAAACTATAGGTACGACTAACAACCAATTGAGTGCAATCACACCAATGACTTTGAAACCCTCAGAGAGCAAATTAGTGATACCTGGCAAACAATGTTGTCATCATCATTAAAATATGCTTATCGAAGTGTTATGTCTTCTGTTAAATGGGATATCTCGAAAGTTTCAGCTTGGGCTTGGGAAAGATTAAGTTACTCTTTAAGCCAATGACAAGTTAAGTTTAGGTTAACCTAATAGAGGCGACATTAGGGTCAGTTCTAGTTAGATTACACTTAGTTTAGGGATATTTTCAAGTTAGGGTTAGGTTCATGTGAGAGATGTGAGTTATTGTTAGGGTTAGATGACCTAAATAATTACATGCAAGGATTGTGTTTAAATAACCCTCTCGATATAAGAACAGAACTTGTGAACTGTGGTAGAGTACAATTCCATTAAGGGTAAAATTAATTTTGACAAGGTCTTATAGTGTTATACAGTAATATTTACCGATGACCACGTTTCGAGCACGATTTATTGTTCAGTAAATGTTACTGTATTACACTATGAGACTTTATCAAAATAAATTTTACCCACAATGGAATTATACTCTGTTGATACTCCAACCTAAAACTGAAAGCTATTTTATATCACATATGAGAGTAAGGTATCCTCTGTAAAACTTTTATACAATTTCTATGGGTTATTTGGTGTATATGTATGTATCCCATAACCAGAAATGCCTCCTTCGCGTGATTGGTTCGTTCGAGGTCATTCGCTGATTGTTAGTTAGTGGTGCTTAAAGTTTAACTTTGCCGAATAGTTTAGTAGAGAGCAGCAGAGATTTTTATAATTTCAATGATAGGTGATTGTATACTACCCGACTGAGAACAGCTTCCCGGCATTTTAAGAAAAGTTCGGATTTACGAATTCTTTCTCCCCTCCTCCCCAACTTCTCTCTTTATGGCTTAGAATAACAGTCAGTGATCTTGCGTTTCCGTATAATATTTTGATGTGACCATACTTACATGTTCTCCAGTGGTGATCCTACTTTTCATATGGTAAAGAGTATTTGTAGCTCAAGTGGATGACTTTTATATGGTTATGTACTCTGACCTGGTTGACTTAAGTGGGAAGCTTTTTTGTCATTCTAGACAATAACCTGAACTCAGGCTTTGATATGAAGTGAACCTATTTGAATTCTCCATGACTGATATAATTGTACTTTACTGTATCAAGTGATACATTTTGTGTTCGTTGGGTAAGTTTGCTTTAAACGATTTGCAGTTAGGCGATAAATTGACTTTTGCGTCGGTGGCACATTGGGCCTGCATCACTAATTCATGGAGAAAAACCCTGACATTGATTAGTATCTTGTGACAAATCAAAGCATCCGATACAGTCCTAAAGAAGGTCAACTGCGAGCACGAATAGCTTAGTGGCGGTGTCTGTGACTGTAGCACTGGGTGATACGGGTTCGAGTCTCACAGGGATTGTAAGTCTCTTTAGGGCTGAAGATACGATGTGGCGACTGGTAATTGCCATCAAGCACGAAACCTGTCGACTGCTTCCAACCATCTGACAAAGTTAGAATTCATAGGTCAGTTAATTGTGCTGCACCTGGATACATTGTTAACGAGATTAGTATCCTAATCTGAAGACGATGGGTTCAATCTGTATTGGGATCGTGGTTGCTGAAGAGTTGCAAATTAGGCCAAAGCAACCATCCAGCACTCCACGGTTTTTAATGACCTTTCTTTATGATGTCGGTTCGTGATTGAATCTAAATTGCAATTGATTCAAACGCCTTCAAAACACCAATAATTTAAATTAATTATTATAGCCGTTGTTATATCCTATTAGACGTTTAAGTTTTAATAAGATTCCTGACTACCGAAACTGTTCCTACATATTTATTTATGTGTGCGTCGGCGGCACAGTGGTTACGACTCTCGCCGACCATGCACATGGTCCGAGGTTCAGTCCCCTGACGGCGCACACCCAATATCTGTAGTCGGCCTGCAAAATTTGGGCTACCGACATCACATGCTGAAAATTCCATACTTGTACCGAAAATACGGTGTGGTATCAAACTGTAATCAAAAAATAAATAAAAAAATCACTGGTAGACTTGATACATCTTTCTAAAGATGTGTATTTTGAGTACAGCGTATGTTTCAGTTCACTTAGAAACCTACTGCTTCTCTTGAAACTGTCCTCAGCTTTCAAGTGAGAAGTGAATCCTGTACACTAAGAAAAGATTAGTCCAATTAGGTTACTTCTAAATATTTATTTTACATAAAAATATGTGTACCCTTGTACAAAGTATTTGATGATATCTAAAGGTGCGCTAACTGTTGAAATACAAACTTGATAGCCACTGGTTTTTACTGTGTCAGAAAATGCTATAAGACAGGGATAAATAAAGGCCTACTGCTTTCCGAATTGAAGTTAACCATTCGCACAAATGAACATTTGTACAGAGGCTTGTGTTTCACAACTTGTAGATAACATTGAGTTTGTCAGTTGGTATACACGTTAACCCGTCTTAAATCATTTCAGAATTTAGCCTGAAAATTATTCAGTGTCATGAGAATTAGTCAACTTTTTAGTGTCTACTCAGCGAATTTCAACTGAATAAGAGTTGCTACGCAAATATATATATATATATATATATACAATTAGTCCCTTAGATAAATTTCTATAAGGCATTTAGAAGACACATTTCGCGAGATGATGTCATCATTTCGTAGTCTCTTTACAACCGCTTTACAACTAAGATGGTGAACAATAATTAGACAAAATAAAGTTCATGACAATTACTCAGCTATATAAATAAACAAAAGTACATACTAATGACTAATCATATTGAAAAAGGTCAAGTAGTCAGTTCATGGTAGGCGAAGGTTGAAGTCTATTGATGTTCTTCGTACACACAGTTCAGGCTGTATGTGATTAATCGGCCAAAGTGCTTCCATCACCTTAAATGACCAACATTGAATTGGAGTTATGTGATGAAATAAATGTGAAACAGTCATTAATATTGATTTTGTGACCTGACATTAATAAGTGCTTTGCAATGGATGATGATGATACTGGATTTCTATTCAGATTAATCGCATTAGGATTTTTTATATGATTTAGTAGCCATTTTGGAACATGTTATTTTCGACGACATTGGACCATTCTATTAGTTCTACCTATATAGGTGTCACCGAAACTGCAGGTGAACTAGTATACACAGTTTGAAGTAGAGTCCACAGAATTTCGTCTTTTAATCGTACTTACATAGATCGAAAATATTCTGCATGTGAGAAAAGAGATGCGGCATAGAATGTGACTATTTCACAATTAAAAGTCAATCTGAACGAAAAATATTCTTCTCAATAATTTCTCTTCAGGTTCTTACAATTATAAAACATAATATTTGTTGTCGTTACAATAAAGGCCAGTTATGTGGCGGATACATTTTTTAACGTAGAATAACAGATTAGTTTTGGGGTGTCAAAATAAATAGTCGTATTTGTGTGACAAACGTGCTCTGGGCTGAAATCCATTACCAAAATATTATAAGACGGGAGACAATGATGGTGATTAATCATAATAGATTTGTAGAGTGTGGGGTAGGAAAATTGACAAATAAGTCAGTTCAAGGTTATAGAAGGTGTCAGGTGAGTGAATGGCTAATACAAAGTGGTCTCTGTTTCACAATTATTTAATCACATAACTTTAATTCAAGGTTATTGAACGTGGTGATGCATTTATCACATACAGCCTAAACTGTGTGTACGAAGAACAACAATAGACTTCAAACTTCGCCTATCATGAATTGACTACTTGACCTATTTAAATATGATCGGTCATTAGTGTGTACTTTTATTTTTTATGTAACTGAGTAATTGTCATGATCTTTATATTATTTTAGTTTTGTTCACCATGTTAGTTGTAAAGCGGTTGTAAAGAGACTACGAAATGATGGCATCATCTCGCAAAATTTTTCTTCTAAATGCTTTATGTATATATATAGAAAATGTATTGTTCCTAATTCACACTACTTAGTTACATTTTAAGTAGTTAACTGACATTTAAACTGTAATAGGTAAAAGCAAGATTTACACAGACGTTTTTCAAATATGAAATCTCTTTTCCATCAAAATAATGTTTTTATTTTGTTTTATAACTCTTTGTTCAGGTAAAAATTATCATAAGCAGTGGAAAATGATGCACTGGTCTAAATAAGAGATAGTTAGATATCACACTTACTTGCAGTCCATAATAAATTCATCCAATGATGAGATAGCCAGCTGTGCTTGAGTTTCAATCGGTAGATTGGCTTTTATAGCAAGCGTTATATGATTAATTCCTTTAGCCTATTTTTTATACATGGAGAAAATAATCCGCAAAAATAAGAAGACTGTAAGTTCAAAAATTCATTAACTATGAGTCTAATCACAAGTAGACATTAGTTATAGAACTAATGAAAACCAAACAGTGTGTCGGACAGCTGTTTTGTTATTATTCTGAGATAATTTATAAGGGTGAACCTCTTACAGAATCAAAGATCTTGAAGTTACCACACAAATCTGTTGACAAATCAGCCTTTGTGTTAGAACTCCAACGGTTTATGATTGCTAATTTCCGCCAATTCACGATATGTTTAGAATACGATTTAAGTAAACAAAGTAAGTACTTAGGGTCAGTCCTCATCAGGCCTTGTGATTGCATAATCAAAATATCGATTATAGACATCTGAAGCAATCCGAACCAATAGAATCAAGCATAATCAAGGAGAATAGGAGTAGAATAATAATAAATTGTGGTTGGTTACAAGATTTCATCACGAGCTGACAGTGGTTAAAAAACCATTGGAAAACCTGAGAGTACTGGACAGCTGTTTCCTCCTATTTTTGGACCCTTCATGGTACGCACCCAACGGGGCTCGAACCCGGTGCTCACTGTGAGGAGTCCCAGTATAGGACGAAGCAGCTGTCCATTACTCCCTGCGGGTTTTCCGATGGTTTTCTAACAAGTGTCAGAACATGATGAAATCCTGTAACCAATCAATCGAATCCCTACAAAACAGTACTTGAATAAATTGTGAAACTAAGATTAAAATGTGCGTCGGTGGCACAGCTACAGAATGTTCGCTGACTAGGCATGTGGTCCGGGGTTCAATCCCTAGCCACCAAAGCACTCCTTTATCTTGCTAAGTCATCAACAAAGCTGGTAAACAAGAAAGGTTGGGTATGAGGCTAACAACCTCATCACATAAAAATAAACACTACTGCTACAGAAACTTCAAGCCTCTAGCTTGAAGCCCCGTGTTCCTCTGAGAACGCGAAGGAATGAAAAAAAGAATAAAATAAGTACCTAAAGCTTATTATGATATTCATAATGAAGTTAGCAGTACAAATAAAAGTAATATTTATAGTTATCCGGTATCACAGAGAGAGAGATAACTATTTTAGGTTGAGGTTTAAGGCTATGGGATGCAGATGGACCAAACAAACTTTATATGAACCCAAAAACTAAGCCGAACATCTTTTTTATGGCGACTGCCTAAGCAATGCTTAGTAGACGAAGGCGTACAAGTTTAGGGAAATAAGGCGGCACCTTGTATAGGTTGTATTTTATCAACCTTGTGATCGGTATTCACTAAATGTGTCAGTATGATACCCTTAAGTGACTTTACAACTTCTTTACTTAAACTAGTTGGATAATGCTCACTAAGGCTTAACGAGTCGTTCTAGATGTATAACTGTCCCTACAAGAACCGTTAAATTTATAAATTCACTATATGTAGAGTCACATCCAGCTAGTGTTATCGGCGAGTATTTGTTCTCACACATGAATTCTCACTGGTGTGTGTTTGATTGCATTTCAGTGACTGCTTAGTAGACAGGCTCGCTTGATGACTTCAAGATCTTAGTTTTGTTAGCAGGTGGAATCATGTTTGTATACCGTTGAAGACTTCCAAAAGCTAGGAGGAAGCATCTGTTCAGCACCCCCAAGTTGTCAGTGGTTCTGCAAGTGATTTCAATTCGTTATCTGGCTTGGGGCCAGTTCGGTCCCTTCAAACAAGCACTTGAAACTAACAAGCTGATAGATCCATGAGTTTGTAATTAATATAATTTAAGGAAGATACGTTGAGTGAGCCATGCCACCTTCAAATATTGGCTTACCATGCCCCATTGCAATAAAAATCAAACGGAAGCTGAACATTCAGAGTTGCATAGTTTATGATGCATAACAGCACCATAAGTTAACCAATCACTGGTTGTATAGTATGTATGGTTTATTATATATCATCATGATGGCTCAATAAACAGTCGTCACAGAAACCCGGGGATACACATCCATCGTAACTCTCAACTGATGACTAACATGAATAAAATAAAAGTACTCACATAAGAGAATGTTTCTTCGTTCGAAAGATTTCTTTTAAAATGTGTTGTCTTTCGTAGAGGTGATCGAAGGTGAATCCCACAACTAATGGAAATCACTCAGTAAGTTATCTAAATAAGTTGGTCTTATGTGTTGCTATCTTTAAAAAGTTCCCTGATATGAAATGCCTTAGTATCCATTCAGAATTAGCGAACAAAATGTTATCTCCAAAATAAATCCTTATATAATTCGGCTCAAAAAAGTGGAGATGTGAATCTATTGGCTTAGGCACCCAGCAGCTGCAGACAATGTATCCTGGTTCGACTCCTTTATCACCTAAGTAGTATCATCAACTATTACATACAGTCATTGTGGCTGGTAGCACACTGATCATATGACCAGAAAGGATTAACAACTAGGAACTCAGTCAACAAATCAACCAAGAACCTGTTGCCGAATCAAAATGCCGAGGAAAAGAGAAGATGGATTGAACAAATGCTGAGGTGACCGTTGAGTGAAATGGCAAACTCGGAAGACATTCGAGTGGAAACCGAATGGGATACGACAAGTTTGCTGTATATGTCCGAAGGTGACATGGAGGACATCGTGAGGTGTAGAGATGAGAGCTTATATTCAGTCGTGGAACCGGCTAGATGAGGAATGCAGAGAACAGAATGATACGTAGATGTGCTGTCGAAACGCCATGTTCTATTTGGAGTATAACGGGATAATAAGACAAAGCAATAAGAAGATGTAATTTGTCTGAATCGTGTAATGTATTTGAGTAACACATTTCGAACAATCTGATGACAAACTAACTTGTCATAGGAATACATATATGAAATTAATAAAGAGTTAGGAGGCGAGAAAATGCACTTAGGTCAATTTGAAGGCACTTATTGAAGGTCAAAATAACAATGAAAATCACTCAGCCAAATAGCAGGGGTAACAGCATATTTACCTTGGCTGGTATGAAAACAAAATTTACCAAGGAAGGTTTAGTGTGATAACGAATTGTTGCTTTGAACGCATTAAGGTGGTTTAAACTTCGTAATTACCAGCTAGGGCTTCAAAAAACTTTAGGATACGCACCAAACACGTCTTATCAATAGGTTTAAAAGGTGTGTTAAGGTCAGTTTTATGACCTGTCTCTATAAGAGAAGAAGCTCTATAGATTTAGCTCTACAATATGGTTTGCAATAGAGAAGCTATGTCTCATGTTCTCACCATTAACGGGTTCTGAAGATTCTTTTAACCTTTGGAGCCACTTAGGAATATGCTCTGAAGCCAGAAATTACTTGCAGAGATCGATGAGTCCTCCCTATGTATGTGTGTCCACATGTACATCCAAACTGGTAAATACGGTGGGATGTGACATCATTTTTCTCATGTTCAAAGGGCTTAGATATATACGCTGGCTTCACATTGTCAATTATTATGACATTCGCTGCATAAAATGTCTTTTTAACAGCAGCGTTCAATCTCTGTCTAGTTATCAAGCTGCTGTGATGCCCAATATAGGGTAGGTAGCTTGATGTACACATCTTTCACAGGGACAAGTTGGACTGTGGGTCCTGATGAACTTGTCCGGATAACTGTTATCAACCAGAGTTTGTGTCAACTTTCTTTCTTCTTCATCAAGTGTGTCTTCAGTGTATATTTGTTGGATTCTACTGAATAGGCACCTTACTAAAGCTCTTTGTACCTAACAGGGCAGAAACTGTGTTAATTAAGATACTTTCCTGTTCAGGTAATAATAGGTGCAAATTCTTCTGCTCTTCTGGGAGTGGTTCTGAGCTATTTCATTAACAGCCTCCTAAGGATCCCAACCAAACAGTCTATACTTTCTTTCGTGCCTTAGAACAACAGTCAGTGACCTCATAGACTGATAACAGGCATTTTTTTGGCCACCCCTAAATCTATCATTTAGATTGAAAACAGTTTAAAAGAAAGAAATTATCAGAGTCTAAAAATGTCCTCCTTTCAATGAAGTTAATCATTTTGTATTTTTTTAAGTTTAGCATATACTACGCATTATACACTTACCAAATGATCAGCAATTCTTAATAACAGATTAACTGCACCTAAACGGAATGATATATCCTCCCATTGTGAATCAACCATTGTACAAGGTTTATCTTCACTCCATGGTAAGTAATAATAATGTAGCCCATCAGAGACAGGATTTGTTGGCGGTGTAGTCGATGCACACGGTGTAACTGATTCATCCAATTTATTGCCATGATTTCCAATGCTAACTTCAAATTCAATTGGTCCATCACGTTTCTCTTCAATCATTGTAGCTGATAGAAAGGCTACATATAATTGATATTTTCTGCGTCGTAAAGATTTCTGTAAGGAGAAATATTAAAATAATAAACAGTTATGTACAATCGTTTATCACTCCCAGGAACTCCAACATACAATTTATCCCAAAGAATTATACAGAAAATTGAAACACCTAACGGAATCTTGTGATCACTCCATCGATTCTGCTATCCAATCTCTAGAGAAAATCAGAGGCATCCAAATAGGTAACCAAGAAATAACGATATCCTTCAATTTCAGGGTATTATATACCTCAAATGAACAGAAACTAGCAAAAGAAACCATGTAGCAATTACTTAGCAACGACGAACACCTTCCATAACAATCAAAAATGCAACGCACAAGCTGGATGGAATGCATAAACGTATGCTTAACAATGTACTTCCAGTTCAATGGACATATATATGAACAAGTTAAAAGGAACACCCATGGGATCGCCAATATTAGGTTTGAAAGCAGAAGCCGTTATGCAAAGACTCGAAAACACAGTTCTACCAAAGATCAAGCCCAAAATTTGGAAACGTTATGTAGATGACACATTTGCAATAATCAAAAGAAACGAGTAAGATAAAACTCACATCTTAATAAACAACTTCTTCAACGACATCAAATTCACAAGAGAAGAAGAATCCGAGAACCAAATCCCATTTTCGGACGTCTTAGTCAAGCGAACAACCATCGGAGAATTAGAAAGTCATGTTTGTAGAAAATCAACTCACACAGACTAAATACGAAATTACAACAGAAAACAATCCAATAACACACAAAAGGAATTGCATACAAACACTATTCAAGAGGGCCAGGAGTCATTGCGGCACTCTTACCTTTAGGAAAATTGAAGAAAGATATCTCGTATCCATGGAGTTTCATTAGGAGACATATACCCCAAGCAAACCTATCAAATCAAAGGCCCCCAAGAGAAACCCAAAGAAAATCTCCCTACTATACATATAGGACATCTCAGAAATCACTACAAGACTCCTCAAACATCTAGGAATTGACGTCGTACACAAACCAACAAATTCACTTCACTCGGTTCATTGTCAACCAAAAGACTCAACAACGACAGAAGATAAAAGCAACATCACCTACAAAATAAACTGTAACAACTGAGAAAAACACTACATTGGCTAAAGTGGACATCCCCTTCGTCTTCGTATCCATGATCATAAGACGGCCATCAAAATACATGAAATCCACACCCTCATATCACTACATACAGACAACCATGGACATCAATTCGACTGGGACAACCAACGTTCAAATATTAGACAGAGGAAATACAAAGATCACATGTGTGGTTAGCGAGCTATCATAAGGCTAAACTATCAACGCGGTTTTTCTGGAACTTAGTTTAATTCCTAGTAGTCTACAGGTGCTAACAGGTCGTAGTTTCATCTTAACATTCAGTTTAAAAATGAAACAGAACTCACCTGTATTCTAGCTATTGTATCCGGTTCCAATGGTTTTACAACATCAGCAGTTGGTTCATCTAATAATTCAGTTGATAATTCCAGGAGAACACGACCACGATAGGCTACACCTTGTCCTTTGCCTAGATTTAATGCTTCATATTTATCTGGTAGATCACTGTATTCTCTTGGTGAACCATAAAGATTAACAAAACTTGGACCAAATGTTGGCAAAAATCCTAAAGCACAGTGAAGGGAGGGAAGGGGGAGAAACGGATTACTTTAGAAAAAGTGATGCCTAGATAAATAAGAGACTGTATTAGCCAGCCAACACACCGTTTAAGGTGAAACCTCTTCACTGTATTCCTCTTAAAAAACCTGAAATGACCAATGAACCATCTGTCTGACATTGCGAATGGTATCATGTGCGTCTGGAAACATGTAACATGGTAAGAGAAAACGCTGATTAATATGAGTAGTTAGTGAATGAATCACGTTACCTGTCATGGTGATTTAAACAGTGGTTGGTTGTTTTGAAAACTTGTGCTCGAGTCTGTCACTGTAATCTGTCTGAACTAATTCACGTCAGAGAGACAAATCATTTCGCAGACTCTTTAAATCACATTACCTCGATGATACTCTATGAAAATATACTTAAAATTTTGATAAATCTCCGTCAAATAACGTGATGTGTAATATATATGATAAAGTTGGATGGAGGATTTCATCATGAGTTAGAGAACCACTAGAAAACTAGCAGGGAGTAGTGTACTGCTGCTTCGTCCTAGTTTGAGACTCTTCATCAGTAGATACTCACCATCATGGTTCGAACCAAAGACCTTCTGGCTACAAGGCGAGCTCATAGACCATTAAGCCGGTGAGACCCGATCTAATGGTCCATGAAATCTAACTTGTGCCATTTGACGACATAGTGTGACCACTTCGTGATGTCTTCTTCAATGAGTTACTGCCTCATCTTCAACCTGCTGTACCCTAGTGGTCAGGACTTCTCACTAGAACCCCAGGTCACTGACTAAATAGGGTCAGTCACTAGTAAGCATCAGATTAATTTTTAAGTATTGGTTTTGTAGGGATTTTGTTTAATTGGTTGGACGGTTTCATCATGAGCTGGCATTAGTTAGAGAACCACTGGAAATTGTCAGAAGTTAGAATTCATGGGCCATTAAACCGGGTCCCAGAGGTTCAGTGGTTTACGAGCTAGTCTTGTAACCAGAAGGTCCTCGGTTCAAACCGTGGTGGTGGGTACGTACTGCTGAAGAGTCCCAAACTAGGAGGTAGGAAACAGCTGTCCAGTACTCCTCGTTTCTTCAGTGGTTCTCTAATTAATATCAGCTCATGACAAAATCCTCCATTCAATCAAACAAAATCCCTACAAAACCAATACTTGAAAATATATGATAAATGTGAATGGATGAAGAATGACTTTCAAGCAGACGACAGGTTTTCAGTGATACATCTAAATGGCACTGTACTATCAATTTCAGCATGCTGAACGACTGTCACACGCCTTCAATTCCTCCGAATCACTCTCGAAAGTGCTCAACTTGTCGTTTCTTTTTCTGGCTCCATTGTAGGTGACAGTCAAGTGATGATGTCACTCCTCAGCGTATGTCCAATTCACCTCCATTCCTTCCTATATCTTTGTTGGCTGATAAGTACTTGATCGATTTATAGAAACAGTTTCTTGTTACTTATACTTCCTAACACGCCATCTAATCGTCGCTGTCGAGTGCGGGTAGGTGTTGATAAAAGTCTTTAATAGCCTGTTGTTAATACTTCCAGTGACGTGGGCTCCAAGTCTTTGAGATGAAGAGAATCATTGGTGTGATATTGGTGTTAAAGATCCGAGTCTTGTACCTTATCCTCAATGTAGCAGAATTCCACGGGTATTTTACAATAATAAAGGTCTGGCTTTGAAATCGTTTTCGATGACTCCTCTAGTTAAGACGATGATGTATAGGCAGGTCATCGTTTAGAATCAATAAAACCATTTCTTCGACAAATTTAAAAGTCAGAAAATTAAAAATTATAACTATTTCAATTAAAATAGAAAATTATTGCTTAAATTGGTATGATTTCAAATACTTTTAACACTCGTTTAGTGCGAGTAAGTAACTCAGCTGTTGGGATGAAAGATGTGCATACATTGATCATTTAACGAAAGTTTATTACCTCTGATAAATAGATTGAGTAAAATAAATAATATTGATTGAAATCAAAATAAAAGACACCCAAGGTAAACAAATAGCATGGGATGGTTGATTATACATCAAAGTGAACGTTTCAAAGCGTTTACAATTCGTAAAGATGGGTGGGGGTGGGATTGGTAAGGGTAGGAGAAGTGCAACACTGTGTAATTTTTGATAAATAAAGCTTGTTATATTTATGCAATGGAAGCATGATATGATACCATGTCACATACAAAAACACAAACACCTCCACGCACACACACACACTCAAATGAGAGCATGAATTCAATCACTTATGTATACATGTAAACTAGGGATAAGCAAGCGAAAATGAAAGGATTCATAGACTGAATTGTGCGAAACCTATTCCCAATACTTAAAAGCACAGTTCATCGTACCTTCTTTACCTATAATAAAAATAGTGAACATATATTTATATTATTACATAAGAAAATTATTAAGTTAAAACAATTAGTCCCTTTGACAAATTTGAATAAAGCATTTAGAAGACAAAGTTCGCGAGATGATGATATCATTTTGTAGCTTTCTTTACAACCGCTTTACAACTAACATGGTGAATAAAACTAAAATAAAATAAAGATCATGACAATTACTCAGTTAAATAAAAAAATAAAAGTACACACTAATGACCGATCATATTTAAAAATGTCAAGTAGTCAGTTCATGATAGGCGAAGTTTGAAGTCTATTGTTGTTCTTCGTACACACAGTTTAGGCTGTATGTGATTAATCGGCCAAAGTGCTTCCATCACCTTGAATAACTAACCTTGAATTAGAGTTATGTGATGATAATCGATATTGATCTTGTGATATGACATTAATAATGTGTTTTGCAACGGATGATGCATTGAGATTTTCTATAGGTTTTAATGACCATTTTGGAACATGTTCTTTCCGACGACATTGGAACATTCTATTGGTTCTACTCATATGTGTGTGTGTCACCATAACTGCAGGTGAACTAGTATATACAGTTTGAAGTAGAGTCCAGAGAATTTTGTCCTTTAATCGGAGGTACATGGATCGAAAATGACAGGTCAGAGACTTCGGTCAGCCATCAAACGCACATTCTACGCTGCATCTCTTTCTCTCACATACCGAAAACTTTCGATCCCTGTACCTACGATTAAAGGACAAAATTCTCTGAACTCTACTTCAAATTGTATCTACAAGTTCACCTGCAGTTATGGTGACACACACACATATGAGTAGAACCAATATAATGTTCCAATGTCGTCGAAAAGAACATGTTCCAAATTGGTCATTAGAACATATAGAAAATCTCAATGTAATTAATCTGAATAGAAATCCAGCATCATCATCCATTGCAAGGCACTTATTAATGTCAGGTCAGAAAATCAATATTAATGACTGTTTCACATTTATTTCATCACATAACTCCAGTTCAATGTTGGTCATTTAAGGTGATGGAAGCACTTTGGATTAATCACAAACAGCCTAAACTGTGTGTACGAAGAACAACAATAGACTTCAACCTTCGCCTATCATGAACTGACTACTTGACTTATTTAAATATGATTGGTCGTTAGTATTCACTTTTGTTTTTTATATAGCTGAGTAATTGTCATGATCTTTATTTTATTTTAGTTTTGTTCACCATGTTAGTTGTAAAGCGGTTGTAAAGAGACTACGAAATGATGACAACGTCTCGAAATATTGGTCTTCTAAATGCCTTATTAAGAATTAATAAGGTTTGCTTATTCGTCTATTCACGTGTATTTTATATTAATTAATATTGAAAGAAAACGGAGATTTCATGGGAAGAAAATTCTCTTTCTGACGATTTCATTTTCATAGTTGTAGAATCTTATACATATATACTCAGCAGTTTGTGGGGATTTTATTTGTTCCAAGTTTCATCACGGATTGATATCAGTAAGTCAACCATTGAAAACCAACAGCGTTACGTCCTAGTCACTGACTCATCAGTAGTATACACCCACCACCAGTGTTCGAATCCTATACCTTCTTGACACAAGGCAAGCTCATAGACTTTTCAGCCACTGGGACCCAACTCATTGGCCAGCCTATTAATGCTAACTTCTACCAATTGATGATTTTAGCATGATCATCAGGTAGTGTTATCGCTAGCGAATGTTTGTTCCCACTCCCGACCTGGTGGAGCCCACTGGTCACGACTGCTCACTAAAACTTCAGGGGGCCCTTCAACCTGTGGTAAATCACTAGCTAGCATGCATCAGTTTTGTTTTGTATATATTAAAATTTGATAGTGAATAGAAATGCTAAATTATGGCTGTACTGATATATATATATGATTATGAATTATAAACTGGTTAGGTTTATGAATAAATAAAGTGCGTCGATGGCACAGCGGTAGAGTCCTCGCCGACTACGCAGGCGGTCCGGGGTTGGATCCCCGGACATGATAAAATCAAGATAACAGTAGCGAAAGAGATCGTACAACTTTTTTTTTATACAAAGTTCTTGGCTTCATATTATGTATTGCCAAAGCCTCCGCTTGTACAAAGCAAAAGCATTTGTATCTCTTTTGGTAGACTTTGTCGAACTTAGTAGATTATATTTCAAAGGATGTGTCAGATGCTGAATGTTCAGTAGTTAGTATATGTTGTATTATCGACGAATTACAATACTCTATTATAGATAAGATTTTACAGTGTTATACAGTAATATTAACCAATGACCACGTTTCGAGGACAAACTATCGCCACTCATAATCATATCAAGTCACTACTCACACAACTTTCTTGCTTCATTTATATACATGTGTAAAAATTGATTAGACATTTGAATACAAATCAATATGGGATAATGTAGATTCAGAAATAATAGTATTAGTGTTATCAATCAAGTACAATCAGATGGCGTTGGTGTTGAATAACTATCCCATAAAATTCATTAGGAATATAAATTAAGGTCAAAAGCTAAATAAAAATAATGGTGAAACTAATAATAAAAACATAAATAAGAGGGAATATAAGGCATCTACAGTTACACCACATAAGGAGG